AGAGAGAGAGAGAGAGAGAGAGAGAGAGAGAGCGAACGAGCGAGGGAGAGAAAGAGGGGGTGGGAGGGAGAGATAGACAGATGGTAGGTGAGAGCGGTATTTTGGAGGAGAAAAAAAAGGGGGGGGGGTGCTGAGAGTGTTGTGATGCGTACTCAGTAGCGGTAGGATTAAAAAAAGGGAAAGTGAAGGTCTTACCAAGTAAAACATATTAAAAAGTTACAAGTAGTATCTTCGAAAGATGCCCAACTTCGAAAGTTTAGTAAATAAATTGTGAGTTAAGAACGGGAGTATAATGGTAGGAAAAAATAGACTCAACTTTTATTGCATGGGTAAAATAACAACAGGGTTATCAACTCATAAATAAAATACTGTATATATATAATAACAATTAATTATGTATACATCTTGTTTATAAAAACCACACAACTGTGTAAAGAGCAGAATTCTGTCAGTGTACTCGATCGTTTCCAGTAGCAACCCCATTTACCTTCATTTCAGGATCAACACACGCCTATAAGCCTATTCACATAATTGCAGGATCGAAAGAAAACCTTTCTTTAAAAAGTTGTCAAGTAGGTTATTTGCATTTATGGCACCAGTTGCAGTAAGACTCCAGATCTATAGGTGCCACTTGAAAAAAACTCAAAATCACAAGAGATAGAGAAGGGGAGGGAAGGTCTCTCTTCGTTCCTCCAAAGAATCTCCCCAGGACACAAACACCTCCCCCCCCAACCCCTCCCAAAAAAAATCCAAGTTCTGGTGCTTTGATTGCTGTAGTTTAGAAAATGAAAGGGCGAACATGATAGCAGCTGATGAAGGCGATCAGCACAGAGACTTCGCCTAGTTCATGAGAGCGTACACATTATGGACTTAGTTAAAAACCTAGAAAATTAAAATAATAAAATCAACTCTTTCTGAAAACGAAAAATATCCATCTCCCCTTGTTCATGTTCTATGCTTTGTTAAGAACTCCTGATATAGATTATCATCAACATCGCCCCGCCCCCTATCTTTTTCTCGCTTTTACACATTTCTCCCCGATTCCATATCTAAAACACGCTTCAAATCGAGTGCACGTTGGCCCATGTTGTACTCTTCATAACCTACCAAACAGCACTTCGTTTTTTCCCCTTAAAGCTTCCAAGAAGCAAATTACACTCTATATTGTAATTTGCAAGTGAATGAGAATACCTCGACAATGTGGTAATATTCCTCGCCAGGGAAGTTACCTTTTGCGTAGAGTAAAAATAGACTGTTTGTTAATACAACAACCTGTGAAAAGTAGACTAACCCACAACTTCAGAATACAAGTGAATAAGGAGAAATGTAACTGACACACAAAAAAAGTTTGTCCGCCATCCCTTCAAATATTGTGACATAAAGAAGTAACTGGAAAACTTCATTTCTCTAGGAACACAAAAATGTAAAGGTGTGGGGCTACAAATGGATTACAATAGAGGCACAATAGAAGTACATTTACTAGAACACTTAGTTTACACGCCATGAGAATAACGGAATACTACATTTAACCAACAACATACTTCAACTTCAACAAGAAGATAAATGGAGAAGGGGACATCAGAGTAAGTTAGATGACATATCAGAAAATACTGCAAATGTGGAAAAGTCATACAGCAAACCAACTGTTTTGAAATGTGGAAAATGAATCCTAAAAAAACATGATATTAAAACTAACAATATTTCAGGCACATTAAATTCTTTAGAAATAGGAACGAAAAGGCATATTTATACTATTTGTAACAAGAGGATCTTTTTCCTTTCAGCTGTCTTGTGGACTTCGTAACTACTATACAATCAAATAACATCTATTCCTCTTCAAAACATCATATCACCACAATCAAAAACCACTTCAAAACAGGTCTATGGAAATGGTCATGCAAAGAAGAAAATGTAGTAAAAAAATACTATAAATATAAACTTGCACTTATCTTTAGTAACTTAGATGATCTGTTTAAGGTGCTTCAAAACTTCAAAACAAATAAACCAACAAAATTAAGTAGGACCCGTATAAAACGAGTTCAAATGTCTCTCACTCAAATAGAAAGTCCATCACCCAAAACATTAAATAATAATACATATAATATATATTATTATAAATAGTTCATTTACTGCTTTTAAAAATAAATACATCAACGGCAACGATCGGTTGTCAAGTGCGTTATAATAACATTCTTTTGATGGAAGGAGGAAATTGCGACAAAGAATGTCAGACATTTTTTTTTTTCCCCAAACCAAGGCACTGGTAGTGAGACTTTGCACTTGTTAACTGTAAAGAAAAATTATAATTTCTTTCCCAACACACAGGTTCTTTCTCTACGGTGTTTGATAAATTACTTGTATTAGATTTGGAAGTGGTGTGGAGTGGCAGCTGCAATGGCAATACCATGAAAGATCTTAGCAATTTCTTTTCTTCCACACTTACAACTAAATAAACTCACGCAAAGACTGAGAGGTATCATAATATGATGACATAGGACGCTTTATGCCCTCTTCCCCTTCTATTTCCTTTCAAGTGTACCACCCCTTTCCCACATCCTTTTCCCAGAGATATTCACACAGCTCTTTATCCGCCTTTCACAAACCTCTACCACCAACAATTAACGGTTCTTTTTTACCACTTCTCCTCTCTTGTCATCCCTCTCCTCCAAACACCCCCCCCCCAAAAAAAATTCGCCCCATCTAATTTTACTTCCTACTTCTACTGTATCTGTACTGCTGTCAGATTTTTTATTCTTGCATTTGACTTCTATCTGAATTCATGCTACCAAACTTAATACAGAATCCATATTACCATGTCTCTCATTATTTATTCTATCTATTAATTTTTTGTGAAGTTAGATTTCACTCCTAATTTTACTCAACTCCTCTTTAGTACGGTATCTATCTATTTATCCATGCCAAGCTGTAAAATATGACACCTCCTCTTCATGTCCCCACCGCCTTCTCTGGTCTCACATAGGAACCTTAGAAGTATAGGTTTATTTCTCTTGCTACAAATATTGTAAGTTTACACTACGAGAACCCAATATTCTTTTTTTTTTTGGGGGGGGGGGTATGGTGGTTTACAGCGATAGCAATTGCATAAGGTCACATGAGTGTGAACCCATTATTCTCTCTTTTCAATTTTTTTACCCAACAATCACACCCTTTCTTTATTGTGCACCCTTAACTCTTTCCTTTTCATTCTGATTCCCTTCCCCTCTTTACTTATCTTCTATTTGACCAGTTACTTGGAGGCTTCTGAACCCATGAGAATCAACACAATGGCAGTGACAAACATAAAAATATAGATATACATGTGATAGGAACTTTTGGGGTTGGATATTGGCTAGTGGCACTCCACCTAACTATATAAGGGCTTCGATGTCACACACGGGACTTCAAACTGGTATCTAAATGTGGAATTACAAATGTGAATCTTTAAACTAAACACTCGACTACTACTATCTAGAAGGACCTAAAATGTAATTATCACAAAATATATTATATTGTATGAAGACACACACTTTTGCAGCCAGGGTTGTGACAGCTGTACAAAATGATGTTGCAAGTTCAGTAAAGATAAAAGAGATGTCCCCTATACATAATTAAGTTGTCTTTCCAAGACGTTTTCACTAGTAACACCCATAGTTAAAAAAGAAGAGATAAGCTTGAGCATCATTTTTGTAAGAATTTCAATTTATAAATACTTCTATCATAAAAAGATTCCACAAGAGTATGGCTATAGTCACATTTCCTAACTTTTCATTTCAAGCCCTAAGCATGGTTTCCTAACCCAAGCTCACAATGAAACTTAAGAAATCAATTTCTTTAAGTTAAAACAAAAGAAACAGCAGACTTTGGAAAATCCTTTGTCTATATATAAATTCCCATAATGATTTTGGTTGCTTTCCTGTGGAATATTGGTTAGTTAGTTACAATTTCTTTTTTTTCTGAACAGCTTGTGGATTCCTCATAAAATAGACTGCACTGTAGACTTGATCACAGCTTTTTGCCATCCTACAAACAGGTTAATCTAGAAGATAACTGTTAACAAAATCAAATGAAGCCTAATTAGTTTTCTTGTCGGCATCAACAGTTTTCTGTGTGGTGACGTCCACGTGGAGTAGCTTGTCCAGCCGAAGGGCCACAAAACAGCCCACAAAAGGCCCAGCCCAGTACACAAAGAAATGCTCCGACATGGCTGTGCCCTGGCAGCCTAACGTGTGACCGCTGGCCATGGCAGGATTGAAGTACATCCCTGTCGTTGCCAAGCCTGAGCAAAAAAAAAAAGAAAATCCGTAGAAATTACAAATATATGATTTTGGTAAATGTTCCCCCTCCCTTAAATAAAATGTAAACTATGGTACTCTAAAGTGTGTTGAAAAAGAGAATTCATCTCTGGCATGGTGTTAAGGGAGCAAACCAGGAAGCGCCTCAAACTGTTGAGGATGAGCAAAGGATTAAATCTGGAACTGGAAAGCCTCACATTGTACTTCTGTGTTATTCCAATTGAATAATGGACACACCAAAGCAGTAGAAGAAATTGCAGGAACACATCCTAGCTATAGCTAAAAAAATTGTGAGTGTAATTTGTGAGTATTTTTGGGGAAAGGGAGGGGATCTATGAGTTAACAATCAAGTGACTTATATTTATGTATATGGATTAAAAGGAAGGTGAATGAACATACACATACTACAGACATATTATCTTGTCAGGTGAATTCTTGCATTCAATGTTCAATGTATGTGGTTGGGTAAATGTGTATCACCAAAGTAATTTTCTTTGTTCTTCACTTTAAATACATGTACACTCACACACACATCAACACATTCTCCCCCCATCTCTCTCTCTCTCTCTCTCTCTCTCTCTCTGTCTCTCTCTCTCTCTCTCTCTCCCTGACACACATACACATACACACACACATACATACACACACACACACACACACACACACACACACACACACACACACACAAGAGGTACGTGCTTACACGGCCACAGTACCTTTAAGAGCAACATTTGAATAAGCCTCTTCTATTCAATAAGTAGGCCTACATCCTTCTGCCTATCGGTGAGTCCAACTTTTTCTTCATACAGCCACCCATCCACCCATTCATCCATCCATCCATCTAACCATCCATCCATCCACCCACCAATCAACCTCTCCACGCACTGGCATTCACGCACATAGGCACTCACCCAGTACCACCATGAGAGCAGCATTAACGTATTTGATAAGCTCATCCAGGATCGGTATTGTGGCTATGGTCTGCATACCCAACCAAGTGTCAGTGAGGCAGGCACTCAGCTCGATCAGGAAGCCCATAAGAAAGGTCACCTGGAGGTCACTGGAGCACATCGTCTCGTAATAACGCTGAAGGAGGATTAGATTTATCGAATGTTGAGCGAACGAAAAAGGTTGGGGGGGGGATCGTGTTTGTGTGTGCGTGCGTGCGTGCGAGTGTAAGTGCACGTGTAAGTATGTGTGTGTATGTGTGAGTGCGCGCGCGCGCGCGCGTGTGTGTGTGTGTGTGTTTGTGTGTGTGTGTGTGTGTGTGTGAGAGAGAGAGAGAGACAGAGAGAGAGAAAGAGAGTGAGAAAGAGAGAGAGAGAGAGAGAGAGAGAGAGAGAGAGAGAGAGAGAACAGAGAGAGAAGAGAAAGATAACAGAAAGAGAGAGAGAACAGAGAGAGAGAGAAAAGAGAAAGAGAACAGAGAGAGAGAGAGAGAGAGAGAGAGAGAGAGAGAGAGAGAGGGGGGGGGAGGCGGACAGAGTGAGTGGGTGAGTGAGACAGAAGGGGGAAGTGGGCGGGAGGGGGTATGGCATCATATGAACTAGAGGAAGTGCGGGTGACAAATAAGGGCTCAGGGTTGCGCAATTACAGGCTTATACTGAGTTTGCTGGGCATTGCTGACCACAACACCAGACACCAGGGCTGTCAATGCTATGGACTCATTGGAGGGCTGACGTGTGGTACTACTGGCGTGACTAGACATTCAAGCAAATGAGCCATTAATTCAGAGATAGCTAAAGTAATGTCATAAGGACGACTACGTTCCCCCAAGGAACAGAAATAGTAAAGATGTCCAAGGTTGCATTATCATTAACCCAAACATTCCAATCGACCAATATTTGGACATGAGAGGTCAGTAGAAAGGGTGCGTTCAATGTCGGCCATTAACAAAGCGCACAATCCAAAGGAAAAGAAAAAAAATTATCCAAAATCAGCTGAGCATGGAATACGAATTTTTGCGGTAGGATATATTGGCTTGTGGCACTCCCACTAGCCAGAAAAAGGCTTCAACATTACGCATGGTGCTTCTAAATGAAAGGTACCTTAAATGTGGAATTCACGCTTTGACCCCTCCAAAAAGTAGTGTTGCGTAGAAATGAGCCCTTTGCTCATGGAAAAATTGTGATTGTGGATGTTTAACGACCCCCTCCCCTAAAAAAAACCCCGACACAAAAAAAAGAAAATTCAACAAAAAACAACACAATCTAGATCATTTGGGAAGCAGGCTGTTTCGACCTTGCCAGTTAGGGCCAACCAGGGCTGAGAGGAATGCAATGTCTCAGCAGACAGACGAAAGTACCCCACACAAATTCTCCTGACAAAGGGATTGAACTCACGTGACCAGACATTCTGCAGGTGTTGTTCCAAAAGCATAACATCACGGCACAATAATTAATATTCTATTTTCAAAAGTTCCACGCGCATTTAGAACACATTGATGACAGATGTCACACTGCTGAACAAAGAATATATTCATGGTACAAAGGGAGCGGCTACAATGATTCAAAACCTTCAGTAACGAGTGGCGCCAAGGGAGCTTTCATTGTCATTGGGGGGGGGTCAAAAACTCCCCCCCCCCCAAACTCTCCCATTATGGTATAGTATACACAGTTTTTTTTTGGGGGGGGAGGGGGGTAGAGTTACTTCTCCATGATTCATGCTTGTCTCGAACAAGTACAACAAACCAATATTTTGTGTGTGCCAATCGAATATGGTTGCGTCAGAATGACAACAACTCCAGATATTCTGCACTACAACATTTTTCTCTCCTTCTTCTTCTTTTTCTTCTTCTTCTTCTTCTTCTTCTTCTTCTTCTTCTTCTTCTTCTTCTTCTTCATTCTCTAAGTCAGAGGTCACCAAACTTTTTTTTCAAAATGGGTCGGATAACTGAGAGAATGCACAGCGCGGACCAAGCATTTGACAAAATGCAGTGACGTGTTAAATAAAAGATTTTCGTTTCCTAACTGCCGAGCTAGAGTGTGATACATTAACTAGAAGTTATATACACATCTATAAACGACGTTTTAATTTGCACTACAGAATTCAATAAAAGTATTAAATTATTTTGGTGACCAAGTTCCGAGCACGTCTCGCTAAAAACTTATCTTTTAAGTCCCCCCCCCCCACTTGGTGGCGCAGGGCACTCAGCTCCAAGCACGAACCCATCTCGTGGGCCGGATCTGGCCCGTGGGACGTGTTTTCTTGAACCCCTGTCTTAAACTTTTGGAAAAAGATACCTCGAACAAGACTGCTATTTTAAGCAGTTTCCTTTATCTGTTAAGGATCTGTTGAATTCTAGCCGAGGCTGAAAATGAACATTTTCAGAGAATCTGTCGTGACTATCATCATTTACTCTTTAAAGTTGCCAAACCAGTGCCTATGGCGTAGTTTAACGATTCGGCGTTTTGCTGTTTCATGAAGAAAACCCAATTTCAGTTCACAAGTGGGGCGGAATTTATCAAGCATTTTAGTCTCTCTGCTGGGGTGCTGTATTCCCCTGAGTTTGGGTTGGCCCCGACAGGCAAGGTCGGAAGTCCACCTCCAAAATGATCCAAATGTGAGGTATCGTGGTGAAATCAGACACTCGTCAAAATAATGAAATTTAAAAAATCTGCATTTTTATGGCCGTTTGGGCAATTTTTTTCCGATTTTCTTTTCTTTTTGGAACAACACACATTTATGTATGTGGATTTTTCAATATGAATGTAGATAAAAAGGCACCAAAAAATGCAAATTTGCCATCTCCAAGGACTCTCAAGCCACCAAACTTTGGCGGCCATTTCTCAATTATTTTACCTCTGAAACCAGGAGACTACCACCCCCTTCAGTTGCAAATATCTCGACTTCTACACCAAAAGCAAGACAAACTTAAACAGCATGACAAAATTAAACAAGCTTTAAAACGACACCAATAATTCCACATGCCTAAAAATTGACGAGTGCCCGATTCCATCACGTCATGAGACAAATTGTGTTGATGGGGGTGTAAAAACACCTACTTAAAAAAGGTAGCCCACCCATTTTTTTTACTCGAGTTCTTCATATATGAACGAAAAAAGCATGTCAAACTTACCTCATGATGATCAGAGATCAGATCCAGGGACCACACCAATCTGGCAAAGCGATAGGATGCCAAGCCGGCCAACGTCTGCACCGCAATCTGAGCAACAGCTGCAAGAAGAGTGGCATCCCCTGCCACCAGAGACTGCAGCGCCTTCACCGGGTTTTCGCTGGCGCCTCCAAACGTCCGAGCACAGACAAAAAACTGGACGACGATAGCCAGAGCAAACCAGAAGCTGCCGTAGTACTGTTGAGAGAAGATGCGTGAACGACAAAGAGGATGAGATGAGATCTGCCACTGTAGAGCTCTCAAGAGATTGAGAGCACTAACTTAAGAAAAATAAAGTGGCAAACACAAAGCCTCCCCTTCTTCCTCCTCCCCATTTTCTTTTTCTTTCTTTCTTTCTTTCTTTCTTTCTTTCTTTCTTTCTTCCCTTTTCTACTTTTTCTTTTTCTCTTTCTAATTCTCCACCTGCTCCTGCCCCTCCTTCTTCTCTCCAATATCTCCTCGTCAATCTGTTGGGCTTTTATTTACTATAGCTTAAGTGAAGTAGAACGCATTGACAGTATCTTTCTCCATAGGAGGACTTTGACAGAGTTATTTCAGCAGTGTCTGTATTATCATACAGCAAGACATTTATAAATATTTTCAAAGGAAATAGGAATCAGAACGTATAAAAATGCGTCTTTATCTTCATACAATACCACATGTTTTATATAAAGACACAACGATTGGCTTGACATGCCCTAAAAATTTTTTTTGGGTTGAAATATCAAGCTCTTGCAGCGAATAAAGGCAGATATGAGAGTCATGGGCAACTCTAGACAAACCCCCCCCCCAAAAAAAAAACCCACCAAAAAACGGCTGTCAAAATTATGTAACCGACTATCTCACCTTCATGACAAAGTTATTCTCAAAGAAGTAGGCGCAGGCTTCCATTGTTGCCAGAAAGTCCAGCACAAGACCCCTGAGCGGCTGGGGGACGAAGATGGAGGTCAGAGTCCGGAGTACCAGCCCAGTGGTCATGTTGATGGCGAAGAAGAGGAGGGAGGCAACATAGGGTTCTACAAACTCCACCTCAGGGTCGGCGCCCGTGGTGAGGGTGTACACACTGCGCCAGTCTATTCCTGTCAGAACACGAAGGGGAAGGGAACGGACTTTAGACAAAAAACAAACAAACAACAACCCACAAAGAACAACACGATTTGGAGCACTGGCTGCAGGGATGCCGCGCCTCGGAGGTTCGGCGGTGGCATCTCTTCGG